TTTATTGAAATTCATATCTTTATAAAAAGTAAAACAGAGAAATCTTGTAAAATTTGATTATCAAAATTGTCCATATTTAAGGATTGTTTTTAAGTTTTGTGTGAATTATTGGTGTGTGAATCACACAGAGTTGTCACGAAGGCATATTTCATGTAGCGCGATAGCGCTGCCTACGTCAGAGTCTGTGTGATTTACACACAAATAATTCAAACTTAACTTTAAAACATTCTTTACATTATTTACATTTTACATGTCTAGAAGCACCAAAAATATACTCAATGTTTGAATTTACTCGCTGCCCTATATTGTTTCATTTTTACTAACGTCTACGTAGCCCCATTGTGACGTCACGTTAGCGCACGTTTCTCCACGTATATTTCTACGCATTTGTATAGGCCTACACCAGTTCATAGTTGGCTTACTAGAAAAATACTGCGAATGTAATTATTAGAAAATTGATATCATGGTTGAATGAAATCATTTATATTGATATAATATGTGCTTGTGAAACACCATGTCCCCCATGGTAAAGCAATTCTGGGGTGGGACGTAGACTGAAGTGGTGTAAACTTAATATTAACCTTTGACAGCACAATACAGATATGGGCTAGCTTAAAGTTGACAACAGACAGACAAACAGATAGACAGGTCAAAAATATACCTATGGGATCTTTCAATCCAGGGGCAAAAAAGATTAGAAATTTTCTACTTAATACCAACAATGCTGTTATATTTTAGTATTGTATTTATTGTGTTTCTTGGTCATACATATCTATCATAATTAAACATGGCAATTCTGAATTAAGACAACGAATTTTTTAATAAATTATCAAGGGATTGTCTCAACTTGGCCATGTACTGATATATTTCAATTATCATAGTGGTTTTTTTTTTAAAGAACAATATACACTTCAATCATTGTTTAGAACTGACATCAACATCTGATATTTTAGGAATGAATAATTATTTGTCATTCAAAGGAAATTTCAATTAAAATACATGATTAATAACTAAAGTATGTTACACCTGAATCCTTATTTACGTTCAAGTACAATATACATGTATTAACAAGTGGCAAATATTGATGCTGTTTTGTGTGTGTGTTTTTTTTAGTTTGGTAACTAAATGATTGATCAAACATGAGTTAAACTTTATTTTTATTTTATTATATAATTTATTGCTGTGTCTGGAAGAAATCTGATTTTGAACATTTATTTAATAGGTGAATAAAAAAAAAGAAATTTTAATTGATACGCAATGTATTTTCAAGGAACAAAAATTGTACGAACGATTCAAAAATAAGCATAACGTCAATTGATTCGCATTTAACTTCAGGAACGCTTAAATCTAAATATAATTATAAAGCGTGTTCTATACAGTAACTAAACTAAATAAACACATTTAAAAAAAATGAATCATATCCCTACAAGTCTAAACCTGGAAATTTGGGTTAAAAGTATTATTTTACACAAGGTATTTTGTGCTGTTTTACACACATTATACATGTATTTGTAGAAATTGTTTCTTAGATTATTAATAAATTATTAATTAAAGCCAATATATTTTCGTTTTAAATTAAAATTAGATATGTACTTCAGATTTAATCATAGACGGAAAGGATTTATTATATTTTATAGAAAAGAATTTTTGCCGAATTTTGTTATGATTTGGAAAAAAACTTAAAGTAATATCTGCCTAAAATATAAAAAAAAACTTAAAGTAATATTTGCCTAACTACCCGTATGAAGAAACCATTTTTTGACAAAGGAATATCAATTTGTTAAATACATGTATTTCAAATTTAATTCAATGTCATGGATACCTTTTCCTTGTGCTATAAATAGACTTGGCGAAGAGCGCAGAGAAAATTGAGGTGACTTCCTTTTTCCAGTGGCTTGCATGGTATTTATTGATTAGAAATCTAGAAAACATTCTTAATATTTCTAAAAAAAAGAAGTACACAGCAGAATTTTGAAATGGTTGATAATCTTTAAAATGGAACGAAATTTTTTTGTTTAAATCATAACAATTCGTCGGAGAATTTTCCGAAAATGGATACTATGAAATCATATTTCCATTGTGTTTATTTTTTGTTGTTTTCGAGGGATGAAGAGACCAAAGCATTTATGACCACCATAAAATAGTACATTCATCCAACTACTCAACAATTCTTCATCTACGAAATCAAACCAAGAGTTTTTTCCTCAAACAACGAAACTTTGACCCCAATATGATTTTACAGTATACGAGGATTGTCCTATAAAATCGTGTCATTTTGTCTATTCTCAATTGTGAAAAATCTCTGTGTTCTAAAACTTTTACTAATCTTTAGTACATTTTAATCAATAAACATAGCAAATTTCAAATACATATACATGTATGCATAAATAAACAAACATGAAATTCTGTGTTGTATTGCCTAGACGCGCACGGATGATAACGTCAAACTGTCGAAAGCAGCGTCACGTTTCCCACTTTTAAATGAAGGAATTTTATTGATGCCCATACTTGGGTTTCCCTTTGTCCATTAGCAGTAGAGGAAACAATCTCATGCATACAAGGGACAAATAATCCCTCTCTTCCCGGTGCGTGTTGCAGTAATTAGACCGTCTGCTATAGAGTTGCCAGGTAAGGAGTCAATCCTTCGGATGAAACCGTATAAACCGAGGTCTAATGTCGCAGTAGGTACAGGCACGAAAAAGAACCCTAATTGCTCAATAGCCCTGAGTGCCGAGTGCAGGACAAATTTTGAAACTGTCCACCGGTAAGTGGTTGCGGTTCCATAAGAGTGGAAAATTCTCAAAAGGGACGTTAAACAACATATATACTATTAATCAATCTCCGGTGCGCCGTAACGTCATCAAATGTCGCCATTTTTTGTTTGTTGTTTTGACCACTTTCTTATTACGAATGCGCGGGAAACTAATAAAAAAAAATAAGCGAATGCCATGCAATTTTTCAGAGAAGCGCTTAGTCTACGATTTAACTGGACAACCCTCGTATATTCACCATATTTTTACCTATGAGAACATCCCTTTAACTATATTTTGGCTACAAGATATTGAAAACTTAGAAAGTTCTAATTGCTTATAAGATTAAAAATATTTTATCCAATAAAATACTAACTTATCATTGATAGGCACAGGTACCACGCTTAGCTTTTGTTAAAAATGTCTGCTTATCAAACGACTCTCAAACTTCCAGGGTAGTATTTTTCTTTAAAACTAAAAGATTGTCTTCCTTTCAGATTGAATGCTAATGAAGTAAAACGGTTAATTGCAAGATTTTTTGAATGAATTTCAATGAACATAGTTTTATTAAAATGTTCATAAGGAGAAGACTATCTAAATAATAGAATGTATCTTATCCTTTTGGCTTTGTCAATAAAATATGTTCAAATCAAAGAACATTCTATCAATAAAAATACATAATTATATAAATCTATTAATAAACAATAAATACTACAGTACTAACTTCAAACAAAGACATAATATTGCTTTTTACTTAAATTTAACTCGAAGTAGTCATTAGTATTTATTATAACAAAGAAATCGTCACCTTAACCATGAGATAAAAACGAAATCGCTTTTAAGGGTTAAAGGTACAATATCACAGTGCTCTCTATTAAAGATGGAATCGCATATCATTGCATATAATTTGATAAAACGATGCATGAATTGTCTGTAAATCGATTATAAATAAATCAATGTCTTAATTTTAATTTTGTTCTGCTGAGATACAATGAGAAAGATTGATAAGAATGATTCAGATCTGTAAATCTTAAGAACCTGCGTTTGGGTGTAGGAATATTTTCAACGCATCTATTTTTTTTTAAAATTTTTATCTTCTGCGGTACATGTAAATCTTGGAAAAGTTGCATTTTCCCCTCTTTGTACCATCAATATCCAGGATTATTGAGACACTATTATTAAGAACGGGGATTTTGAAAAGAAAAGTAAGCACTAAAAATATAATTTTTATCATCAACATTTTATTCCTATAAAAGATGTGTCCATGGATTGAGAAGCCAGTTGACTTTTTGAACGATAGCAAGGGGAAAGGAGGTCCCCTAAAATATGAACTGTACACAGTATTTGATCTGCCTCATGTATATTCTTTTTGCTGCCACCAAGAATGCATTTGCTAGGGGTGAGTAAAATTACACCTTTTATATATCTGCTGTACATGACACTTTTTTGAAATATAGCTTATACTTATTAATTTTGTTACAGTGTTAAAAAATGGAAATTGCCTCTACATAAGAGATGAGATGTTTGTGGAACAGAAGTTTGAACATTCTATCCAAATATGCTGCACAGGCTCTGGGATACACATGAAACATGACAACTTAAAACGACTCGTAGATTGTTGTGGAGGTACAATAATACAGTACATTTCTTTTATTTGCGCTGCTACGAATTTTATCATTCCAATGATTTTTGATATTGTTTTATAGGAGCTATTTGGGCTAATCAGTTTCAGATGATAAGCTCTGCAAGTTTCAATGAAGATGATAAATTATCTAAATAGCGATATAAAACGATATGTTTACATTCAACCCCGAACACTCGCTTTTGATACTTTCATTAACCTCGCAAAAACGAAATGTTTTCCGGAGAGACCTATGACTAAGCATAGTTCCAGATTTAAAAAAAATACTTCAACAATTTAAGTAAAAAAAACCCTCAAATATACCATAAAACCATAGCTAACGGCTACTTTCTCTTATCCATTCCAAATGGATAAATATCATGTAATTTACAAAGTATAAACCTTTTATATATACTCTCCTGTATAAACTTAATCTAAAAAAAAGAAACACTGAAAGAGATTCGAAACAATATAATAAATTTGATTATAGTAATGATATAAATACAGATTTAATATCTTGAAAAGAATTTTGTTGACAGAAGTTATTTGATATTAACTTTGTGTTATGTATACAGTGTATATTATTTCAATGCATGCACAATTTACATGGCTGAAATTCACTTGCAGAAGGAACATTTTTACCGGACGAACAATTATGCCACGAAAAACACGTGTACGACAAGGAGAGTGGGCTTGGGATCAATGGCGAAAAACTTATCTGTGGGAATGAAGAGAAGGAAAATGAACGTAAATATAAATGAATATTTGTATGGCTTAAATGATTGATTGATTGTATACTGTTTAACGTCCCTCTCCACAATATTTCACTGAAATGGAGACGTCACCATTGCCGGTGAAGGGCTGCAAATTTAGGCCTATGCTCGGCACTTATTGCCTTTGAGCAGGGAAGGATCTTTATCGTGCCACACCTGCTGTGACACGGGGTCTCGGTTTATCCGGTCTCATCCGAAGGACCGCCCCATTTAGTCGCCTTTTACGACAAGCAAGGGGGTACTGAGGACCTATTCTAATCCGGATCACCACGGGGCTGTATGTATGGCTTAAAGCACAGAAATTATGCGAATGATTTGATATTCATATGAGTGTTATTCATGAGCAGTTAGTGACACAGGCAGGTCCAATATGAATGAATCCTCTATAGTCAGGTTATTTCAAAGTAATTTGTTCATCATTTACAGCTACAAGAGCTAGTTTTACAAAATTCAAAATCATTTTCAGGCGTCATTCATTCTGTTCTCAACACAAAGAAACCAAAATGTTGCGGAACACAGATGTATTCTTCTTTGACAGAGATTTGTTGTGATGGGTTGCTTAAAAGTTTACATGAAGGGTATGAAAATAATTTAAATATAACTTCATTATTATATCAAAAATAAAAGTAACATACTGATATGAAAAAAGATTATTTTTCTTTACAATCATAGCTGCAAAGATTCTATGACGGAAAGTTTCGCCAAAGAAGAGATATCCAGTACAAATAATACACTTTTTAACCTTCATTTTCCTGGAATTTGCAAGATATTGAAAGAAGTGGGTAACTGTTACCTTTTTAAAATCTTTTGCGAATAATGTATGCATTTGACATGTTATGCCATCTTGAATCAACGGCCCTCGTGTTGTCCAAACTCAAAAGTGGAATACTCAAGAGACGCTTGTGAATACGGAACATTTGGCTTTATGGTATACTGGAAATTGATATTCATGGTAATCCAAAATGTTTATGAATTACTGCAGAACACAGAGGCAGGAGAAATTGACATTCGGGAAATTCTGTTCAAAAGCATGCCACTTTTATGATAGAAAAATTAATTTGTTGTTGATATTTTGGTGAAATCGTATGAAAAGTAGAGGGATTGGATAATCTAGATCTTCAACCTCGATCCCTTCTTCTGTCTTCTTAGATATTTTCTCTCTATAAACGTTTCTTATTTTCCTCTCATTCAATTCAATCTACATCTGATATCCAACGGCCTTGAAATCAACAATCAAATCTTACTTGTAGATACATTTTTTATTTGAAGCTTAACTCTTTGTTTCACGTCTCTGCTCGAAAGAAAAAAATATTACTACTCACGTTATGCGGGATACGCAATAAAAAAAGCAGAATATCGAAGAATTACATGTACCTGTATCTCATTCTGATAATTTTAATTTTCAATATTTATAAATCCAGTAAATTCATTTAAGTAAGGGTTTATCGTTTGCTTAATAAAGTATTATTTCGTTTTAGAAATATAAGCAATGAGGAAACATTATCATACAGAGTAAGCATGGGCTGAGTATAAGTCCTATAAATAGTTCGTATTAGTAGCATTTAAAAGCAAGGAACTACCTTTTTCTTTAAAAAGATTTGGATTTAATATATGCTTTAGAATACATTAAAAAATAATATATAATTGGTATATGCACATAATATGATAAATTAAATAGATCAAATATATATATTGCCTGCTTACCATTCTTTTATATTTATATTAATATATTTCCATTAAATGCATTCACTCACATATAATACACAAAAACTAAAAATAAATATTATCTTCCGGTTTTGTCACTCGTAAAATTAGTTTTATCAATAATATTTATCAAGGATTCTTAGAGAAGTACTCATTAAGTATCCTGGCGTATTGTATTTTCGACCTATTTAGATGGTATTTATAAATTTATCGCAAAGTTTATAGAATCTGAAAAAAAATATGGGCTTAAAATGTTAACATATGTGTCTATAAATAAAATGATATAACCCAAATTGCAATTTTGTATTTATTTTATTTATATGCCATAATATGGAGAGGGTACAGTTTTCCTTACAAAAATATTAGCGTCTTATGTTTTCGACCTAAATATAGTATCAACGCCCAATCAGTATTGGCTATAAATATCCATTGGATATTCCAAACAATAAAAATACGATTGTCTGTCCTTCGAAAACATTGCAGAGGTTACATATTTTGGTTGCAAATACATTTATTCGTTGGTTGAATCCATTTGTCAGTAGCTGCGCATTTCCAAAAACAATCAATGAAATTACGTTGCATTTTTCAGTAAAAATCTGTAAGAAAGTGCTCATATTTAAGGAAGAAAAAAATGTTTGATCCACCCATTCATTTCAATATTCATGCGTCTCTTTGACAGATCTCTTAATTTTTTTTTCAGAAAAATGTCATCAAAAAATCTTTAATAAACCGATTACAGATTTGATTAATCAACAGACAAAATGTGCATTAGTAAAAAGACTAGAATTTCTGACATCGGGCTAAAACCATCGGCGAAAATCTGTTAAAAAAATTATTTTGGGTATATTCACTACAGTTGTGCTTCAAAAGTATTTTTCCAAGTGTAGCATATAGTATAATGTTCTACAGAGCGGGATGTGCACTAGAAACAAATTGGGAAAATTAGGTCGAAAATACAATACGGTCGAAAACAGGATACGAGACGATCAAAATCATAATGAATATTTGGAGTCAGTGTGCAGCTTACCGAGCATCGGTACATTAAATTTTTTGCACTTTTATTGTAGGCTTAGACAATGAATTTAACTTTTATAATACTTTATTGCATGTGATCATGAGAATAAATTTAATCTTTTTTTTTACTTAAAATATTTTGAAAAATATTTATCATTGAACAAATCTTGCAAATTACTGCGCATGAATTATTGTGTGATCTTTTTGCACTAAAAGTATCATATTTGGGGTATAAAATTTCTAAATAGGCAGTAAAATATCATCTCGTAACAAACCTTTTATGACTTTAGCATTAATCGGTTGAAAGTTTGGTAATGTTGAAAATAATGACAGAAAAGTTGGGGCCTGTGGTAAAATTTTTGAGATATTATACAAAATATGTGCTTTTCGAAAATAAGGCGTAATTAGTTTTATTTTGATTTCTTCGATATATCTTCATTTTTTGGCAAAGTATGTTTATTAAATGTGTAAATTTGATCAAAAAGTTAATTGAAAATCATATTTAATATTTGTAGCATATGATAACGGAAAAGATTTCGACGAGTAAAAATAAGCCAAGATTTTAAATTAAACAAATGTGTAGATTGAATAATTTTCTTCTAGATATCGTTCCACCACAGGAAATAGTGCCCCATAATTCTTATTTCCTAATGACCCCATTAGTAGTTATTAAACTGAATTTGTTTAATTTTCAGCTCAATTAAAAACGTTATGTAATATAACCATTTTAGTGAATGCATGTAAGGATTCGTACAATGCCACGTATTTGCATACGTAGATAACATTGAATTAAGGAGGACTACGACAGCAAAATTTTCTTTCATAGATCAACGTAATTTCATTGATCTATGTCAGATCTTTCATAGATCTTTAAGACATCCGTATTAAATCATGGTTTCATCATTGAAATTTCGGTTTTAGCTTTTAATTATTTAATATCATAATTTTTTTAAATAAATTTTTTTCAAAGAAAATAAAAAAAAAGATTTATATCCGAATTAGATGCTTTTAAGTAACAAAGTAAGTGTGTTGTAAATAAATGTATCATATAAAATATGTAATAAAATATGTAAAGAAAAGCTTTATAGACATTTAATTTGTTTTATTTTAATGCAATAAATATTTTGATATCCCGGTAACCCATCAACTGGCTAATTTCTTTCCACAACCATTTCAAAAACTAGAGCACCTTATCTTATCCTCCATCAATGAGTAAAAAGTCTGTAAAACAGTTTGTCGTGTGTTGCTACCTTTGTGACGTTTAATAATTTGTTTGAAGTTCTCAAAAGTATTATTAACATTGACATATAATTTTTAGCAGACATAAATATCAAGATGAGAAATAAACCAATTTTGTAAAGAGAGATAATCCAAATTTACAGTAAATACCACTTAGAGTTAACAGAAATATCAGGATAATGTGTCTGAAAACGCTAAAACATAAATTTAAACAACAAACAAAAATTGTGGAGGCGGGATGGAAGGAGGTAAATAACAAACTTTGAAAAAAACGTTCGTTCTTCAAGGATGTAGATGGGAGAAAAGGCAGAGTGACGCACCGCATGACCGGAATTTTATTTGTGAGATTTTAATTGATCAATCTCTACCTCTCCTAAGACATGAAAAAAAAACGACCATTATAAAACACAGTTATGCAAAATTTCAGACTTTCACAATCAAGGAGGACACTTATTCATTATAATAAAAAATTTAAGTAAATTTAAATTTATTTTTTAATGCAATAATTATTTTGATATCCCAGTTACCCATCAACTGAATAATTTCTTTCCATAATCCTTTCAACACTAGAAGAAAATAAAACACGTTGAAGAAATTAAAATGAAATCGACAAATTTTAGAGAAATTACTTTTTTAAAAATTGTCAATCCCGATAAAAACCGTAGACCTAAAGCGAATTCGATTTAGGTCTATGTAAAAACTAAACCGCAACCTGAATTGTACAATTATTGGAAATAAATAACACTTTTCCCAAAAACTTGTTTTATAAGGTGTAATAAGGGTTTAAAATAATTAAATTTGACAATCAAATAGATTTCTTAGTTGCAAATACATGAAGGAGGCAATAAATTCCATTTAAAAAAAAATCATTTTGTGTTAGTTTTCATCGGGAACAATTAAATTTTGATCGGGATTGGTCTAGATATTAAAAAAAAATAATTTCCTCAAATTTCACAATTTCGTTTTAATTTCTTAAAAGAATTATTGACAAACATGTTCTCCCTAGTTGTGCCTAGTTTGGTGGAGTTTTTTTTACCATAGGTTTAACAACTATTCACAAATAATGTGTTTTATTTTGTTAAAAATTGTTAAAAATATTAAAAGGTCTATCCAGCCTTTCTTTACATATTTTATCAGATATTCATATCATGAAATTATTTACTGCAAATGTTAAACCGTAGGCACCTTATTTGCAAATAAAACATTTTTTTTTTCATTTTCTTTGAAAACATTCATATAAGATAATTGAGAGCTAATATTGATTTTCCAATGCTGGAACCATTATTTGAATGGGACGACTGAGAGGTCTATAGAATAAAATTTTTGTGTGGCATTCCGCTTTAAATTTTTTTGAAGTATCTGTTCCTATAATGTACGCATTTTTTCCACTTCAATCTATGCATGTGGTCTAATTTAATTATATAGTTCGTGGAAATGGATTCAATATTCGGGCCAGACAGAAAGAGATTGTGACTGAACATTAAAAGATTTTTTTAATTGCTAAATGTTAATAAAAAATTAAGTTCGTCTAAAACTTTGCAATTTTGTATCATAATAAAACAGACTATACCCATAAAACAATCTGGATATAAAATTTGAAGATATATATATATATATTTGTGACAGTGAACACTCAGAAGAAACATCGACTTATCTTTCAGAAAATAATCTTCTTGAAACATTCTTGGCTGATCATTTTTTTGATTATGGAACATATATAGACTACGATGGCCGATAATTGAGACGTCAAAATACAAGAAAGAGTAGCTCTATTATGTGCGCAGAATCAGTGGCAAAACACAAGAAGTAGTAATATGAATTTGTATATGTACAAATCTTGAGACAAAATACACTCGAGACTACTTAGCATTCCTTAGATTTATTGTGAAGATTATCTGTAAACTTAGAAGGGTCAATATCAAATACACGTGTTTCTGATTTTTCTTCTACTTTGTTGAATAAATGTTGTGTACTTCACTTCAACTGATCACAAAATGCATTGTTTTCGCCTTTTATCTCATAGAATATTTTGCAACAGTCTCTTTTAAGATTCCTCAGGGGTTTTTGTTTTTAACTTTTACGACA